AAAAAACCTAGCAACAAAAGACAACTAACCTAGCAGCATCAGACAACTATCCTAGCAGCAAGAAAGAACTAACCTAGCAACAAAAGACAACTAACCTAGCAGCAAGAAAGAACTGGGATGTTTTTGGAAACCTTCATCACCGCCTTACTGCAGCTCAGAGTGCGCATGCGTCGGCTGAGCGGCCTATGACCTGGACCCCTCTCCGGAGAATAGGACCGCTATGCACCGCTGCCACGCTGAGTATCAGCTCCGACTCCTTATGGAGGAGGATTTCTGGAAGCAGAAGGCGGCCGTTCGCTGGGTGGCCGAGGGCGATCGGAACACTAGGTTCTTCCAGGGCTACGTTAGGCAGAAGCGTGCTAAGTCGTACATCCATAGCATCGAGGCTAATGGGTCATCCTTGACCCAGGAGGCTCAGATTCGGGAGTCGGCTGTTGCTCACTTCCAGACCCTCTTCACTTCTGACAGAAGGTCCCTCGTGGCCCCGAATGCTTCTTTTTTCCCCACCATCCCTCCTTCGGTTGATCTCATTAGCCTCTGTGAGCTCCCGAGCAGGGAGGAGGTTAGGGATGCTGTATTTGGGATTGATCCCAACAGCGTTTCTGGCCCGGATGGTTTCTCCTCCCTCTTCTATCAGGTCTGCTGGGATATTGTCGAGACTGACGTCCAGGAGGCGATGTTGGATTTTTTCTCCGGCCACCGGATGCCGGATTCCTTCACGTCTACCTCTGTCGTCTTGATCCCCATACGACCCAACCCGAGCTCTTGGTCCGATTACAGGCCCATCAGCCTGTGTAACGTGACCAACAAGCTCATCTCGAAGATTCTTAATGGCCGTCTTTCCCCTCTTCTCCCCTCTCTCATCTCTCCGAACCAGAGTGGATTCATCAAGGATCGGGTCATTAGTGATAATATCCTTTTGGCCCAGGAGATGATCCACGACATCTCCCGAGCGGACTGGAAGCGGGCTCCGAATATCGCGCTGAAGCTGGACATGGCTAAGGCGTATGATAGGGTTGAGTGGCCGTTTCTTAGGGAGGCGTTGGCTAGGATGGGATTTCCTGAGCGTTGGATCAGCTTTGTGGAGGCGTGTGTGGAGCATTGCACGTTCTCGGTCCTGGTTAATGGCAGCCCCACCGATTTCTTTCCCTCATCTAGAGGCCTTAGACAGGGCGACCCTCTTTCCCCTTCCCTCTTCGTCCTTGCGGCGGACTACCTCTCTCGCTGCCTTGACGGCTTCATCCGCGACTCTCCCCACATGACCTATAGCACCTGCGGCTATGGTCCTACCGTCTCTCACCTTTCTTACGCGGATGACATCATTATCTTCACCCGGGCGGATGATGATGGACTGGTCGAGCTCATGCGCCTTTTGGAGCACTATGGCTTGGTTACCGGTCAGCTGGTCAGCGTGCAGAAGAGCACCTTCATCCTTTCATCTGCCACAGTGGACAGGTGGGCTCAGCGGGTCCACGACATTA